AATTTAAATTTTGTGAATGGAATAGAGTTGAGAAGTTTCAAAACATTTCAAGATTTATAAGATGCATAAAAGTGCAAAATGCAGTCTTCAATTATGTTAAAAAGGCGGAAAGGCGGTATCTTTTCACTGTTTAAGATAAATTCAAAAACGAAGACGATAACTTCCTGAAAGCTCAAAGCAGCAATAAAAGCACTCTTTAAAGTTACCCTTTTTTCTTATATTTAAATTTTGTTTATCTTAAAACTATGCGGACCGATTTCCAAAAATCATTTTTTTTTAATTTGTGTAATTCCGTGAATTTATTTACAGGGTTATCGGATTCTCTGTCTAGAGGAAAATGGTTTCCCGTTGTTTTTTTTTATTTTTAGAAAATGTGCCTTATCATGTTAGTGTGTCTAAATACTCCATTAAAGATCTCCCTTTGGAAAAATAACACTTATACAATTTAACTAATCGTTTTTTTTTCCTGAAGGTTACAGGGGTTTAATACACGATCTATCCATGATTTATTCTCAGCAGCCTATATGGCATATTATCCTAGTATAGAGAGGGCCCTCAAAATTGCTAAGCTACCTCAATTATATGAAAGAAGCTGATATCTGCCAAATACAGCGTATATTGTAATTAGGCTTCAGCTAGTATGATTAGTATTTGAATACATTTAATGTGATTTAAATGGGCGGTAATAGCTGACCGATTGAGAAGGCCTCTGCAAACACGATCGCGCCAACCAGAACGTTTGGATATCCAGTTTAATCGAGTTAGGAGTGCGTACACCACAATGTTCTACCTGGAAACTGGGATTTGAGATTTTGAGGATTTTAAAAAATTTCGTACGTAGTGAAATCGGCGGACAATGATCTTTTTCCCATTTTAATAATTATTGTTTGTTTTGAGTGAATTTTTTGTGCAATATCTACTGCAATTAACTCTTGTTAGTGAGTATTATCCATAAAATGGCTGGGTTATTAAAAGAAAAGAAAATGCATTCAAATGGTAGTCAATTGCTCGACAACACTAGACTACACTTCAGGCCTTAATTCGCAGATAAACTTCGAGGAAAAAGTCGAAAATCTGATATTTGGAACAGTCGAATTTAAAATTATTGATTGCGCAATTTGTTTTAAAAACTAAAACTGTCACAGATTTACCCAGATTTAGTCCTTATCGAACTGTTTAGATGCTACTTCATAAATATAAATTTACAATTTTAGATTTCTAATCTTTTCAATACTTTATAAGAATTTGACACTTTTGAAGATTTCATTCACTTCCAAATTTTCGCACCATAAAAAGAAATTCAAATTTGTTTCCAGGTGTTGAGGCATTCGTGTTTATTTAGGCTTATTGTAACAGGAGAGCAACAGTGAACTGGCGTGCAAAATATTTGGATTGATATAAATTTTGGTTTACAATCCATGCTAATTAAAATTCCAAATGTCTAAATGAAAGGCAAAAGTTTGTGTGAAAAATACATTTCAAGATATATAGCCTATAAAACTCTGGCTTCAAATTCAAAATTCTTGATAGAAGAACACAAATTTCACCCTTTTATGAGCGCCTAACTTTCTATAAGTTAAACATGCACTTGATGAGATGTTAATTGAAGAAGAAATGATTCACGTCCTCCTATCAACCAAATCACATGCGCGCACACACACACACACACACAATTGAAACGAAGAGAAGAGATTGAATTATACGTGCCCAGTCAACAAGGCACGCACTTGTGTCGACTGAACATCGTGCATGAGAAAGGAGGCAGAATGATTCAGTGAGTGCGCTTATTGCCAGCCAGAATTGGAATACGCAAGTGACCAGCAAGTCACAATATTTCAGAAAATAGAGAGTGCCTTATATAATAGTAGCGATACCAGTCTGTTATAAGCAATCACTAAGATCTTAATTGGCGACTGCCAAATAGTTATTTACTTCAAATGGCAGGGGTTTTGATAGCTATCATTAGCCTTTTAGCTGCCTTCAGGTTTCACAGAGGGGAAAAACATCGAAGTGAGAAAAATTCAAGAGGGGGGGGGGCAGATGAGAGATTTACAGATGTAAAATAGACAGACAGACACAAAGGCAGAGAAGGTGAGTACTGAAGAAGTGGTCGACTATGACATACAGTGGGGGTCATGGTAGTTAGTAGTCCGAAGTCAAATGCCGGTTTATGGACTTTTTGCCGTATGAGTATACGTTGCCCAGGGTACATTACGTGGTGGTAAGTCTATCTCACGCCCCCCGACTGCCAAATATAAGGACTATTGAAGTCACTTGTAAGTGGATTGCTACACTAATAAGCCTTGATTTATGCTCAGTAATCTCTATGACAAGTTCTCCAAGTTTGGAATGGTTCCAAGGATTAGTTAAGTTACCCCAAAGCTATGAAGAAAACAGACGTTTGACATGAAATACGTTTATTTGAGATGTCTTATTCAAATGAGTTGAGTCATTTAAATACAATGGAGGGTTTGTTAAGCCAGGCAAGGACAATTGATTGGTGGCCGGTTGATATTTCTCTAGGCTCACGATCGCACTTGCGTCCGACGCGACGAGTAGCACGCCGCACCTTCGAGTCTGTCTGCGTGCGCATGTGATTTCTTTGTTCGCTCCACAAATACACAGTTCTAAAATCAATTACTGTGAAGATGGAACCAGCTGAAGCCTTCTTCCAATGCACCTGACTTCAAAGCATCACTTAAGATGTTCGAGAACAGAAAGACCAGCAGACCATTCCTTAAAAGACGAAAGAATGGAGGGGATTGAGTGGACAAAGATTCTTATTAGAGGAATTGGATATGTATAATTTCTCACTGTTTGAGAATTCAGATTTAGGGAATTATTGCAAGTACTCGGAGCTTATTTATCAGTTGGGTATCTGGTCATATTGCCTTGATTTTTGTGTTTATTCCTACCAATGGGCGCATGCAGATAAATTTAGGGAAAATAGTGTTGAAGAAGAGCTCACTATTATAATTAAATTAATTCCATATCACAGTTAATTAAATTACAGAAATCAAAACTCTTCATTTTCATTATTAATTAGCCCAGGGGCACATTAAGATTGCTCCTTAGAACATATTGATTAAGAGGGAATTGGTTAATTTAAACGCAGAAAGTAATTACGATGAGCGAAGACAAATACTTGCTTTCATAATTGTGTGAGATATATATATATATATACATTTATGAAGTTTTCACACTAATGAAGGTAAAAAAATTGGGCGAACTTTAAATATAATAGAAGACCTTGATCATGCTACAAAGAGAAAAAGGAAGTATAATAGGGTTTATGTATTAACTCAGCTCATAAAAACGGGAGTTGTAAGAACAAGGGAGCTTTTAAAAAAGGACAGGGACTGCTATTTTTCACACTTCATTAGGATTATGTTTAGCTCATTTTGGAAGGAAAGGAATCGTTGTAGGAGGCGTTTTAAGTGTTTTGAAATACTGAATTAAAGAGCCTATTCTAATCCTTACTGGTAGTTGCGCATGATTCATTGAGTGTACTCATTGACAGCCAGCGTTTGAGCGCACAAACAACCGGCCATTCAAAATTTTGTGACAGAATTAAGGTCTCACACGCAGATGCCCATCTCCTTTGACTCCAAGCCTAAAAATATCCAATTTCCCACAGGAAGGGCATAAATGACAAAACAAAACCCGCTCCATCGCACTTTATTCTAAGCTACCTCAGAAGAGAAATCTCTATTAATTGATGTTTTGAAAAAAATCAATTGATTTTCCCTTTCACAGTAGTGCAAACACCTCCAAATATATCGAATTTCCTTCTTGCCTTTTTAACTTACAGAATTGGCGGGAATTAATGCGTTTATCTGATCTAACTTAATTTTCGATAGTGAAATTGCCCAATAGGCAGGAGTTTATATAATAAAAAAGCTTATACCCCATTCTACTCACAATTAAGCCTTTGTAAGAATAGTGATCAGAGAAGCGATAGGGAAAATGATCACACCTTGGGTAGTTTGTAAGTGATAACCAACATGAGTAGAAGTGAGTGAGGTTAAGTCAACATGAAGTTAAACTTTAAAAAAATATTTCTCGTAATAAATAAGCAAGATGCGGAATTAAAGTCAGCGGACGTGTTATGATGTTCTCACCACAAGTTATGGCTTGAAGGCTAATCGAAGCAATTTCAAGCTGAAGGATAACCTTCTCAATAGTCTTAATCCAGGTACATACTTAGCAGTAAGCCAAATAATAATCACAAGTAAGACTCTTCCTTATTTATGAATAACATTCTCTTAAGTTTTAATCTGTATATTGGATTGTTTCAGAATGTTTCATCAATTGCGAGATAACATAACACTAATTCTAATAACAATGAATTAAGCAAATAACCAAGTATTTGGTTACTTAGACTTTGTGTCAGAAATGTCAACTTTTGTACCTCATTTTGAGTTTTCTTTGGACAATGAGTGCGAAATTTGACAGCAGAAAATGTATTTTTTTATATTTTTTATAGTAGACAAGTCATGTTAAAGTATATCTGAATTATGTTGTATAATGACATGATTTTTGAGAAAAGCACTTTGATATCAAAAGGTATTAACAATCGCAGTCTTTTTCACCAACTTTGAATCACGTTCAATTTATAAGTCCCCTATGCTCAGATCGAGATGACAGCACGAAGGGGAACAAGCATTAAGTCGTATTTTAATTTTTAATTTTTTTCATGAAACAGGGCTCAGGACACAGGGCACAGGGAGAGATAGAGACTGAGATTATTGCGAGATCATGTTAAAATAGTAATATGAGGATGAGAGAGAGGGAGGGAGGGAGGAGGAGAGAAACAAGGGAGTAAATGCTGTGTCGACGGGACCGATTTGTCTTCGATTGGGTTTTGCCTGTACATCCTAATTGATCCTTTTAAGTTGCTGATATATTGAAATGAAGGAAATGAAGAAGAATATGTGCGAATAGACAATAAAATATTTTTAGATGGAAATGGGCTTATTAAAGCCTGGAATGCGTCTACATCACGCGAAGGTTGAAGTTTGAGAAGCTTCATTGGCGTCAGCTATCTCAGGGATTTCTTGAGGGCTTGTAGGTGACCTCGTGCTTATCAAAAAGGGCGAATGTTGAGGGAGTTGGGGATCACTAGAAATGGGGAATGCCATTGTTTGGGCTTGGAATCCATGGTGAGGAATTTGGAAATGCTGGAAACAAGGAGTGGCGCTTCTTTGAGCTTCCATGGTGGTCGGAAATGTGAGGAGACAGGAACCGACGTCTAGACTATCCCCATTGCCAGAGTCTCGGTCGGTTAAGCTATTGCGTTTGCAATTCAATCTGTCTTCAGTCTGAAAGGAAAACCATAATAACACGATTTAAGAGTTGGCCGACGCAAAACACTATTTGATATAATTCGGAGCAACAAAAAAGAATTCTTTGTGTAAATTCACACCTAATTATACGAAAAGGGAATAGGTCCGTGAGTTTTAACTTATAGCACATATTATATACAAAATTCATGCTCTTCCACCAAGATCTTTTGTCTCTTTAGTTTAATTTTATTTTTGAAATTTTAGGTACATATTGGGTTATAAATTCCATTTATTTCACATTGATTTTAAATTATTTATTCTAAATGATATTTAGATAGCCCATATTTAATTACAGATAAGTTATTAAATAAGTTATCCACAAAGTGAAGGTTCTAGATTTGAAATAAAGTAAAAGCGTTTTTACTGTGAAAAAATTTGACGTTTTATGAAGTATCTTCAACTCTTCTATTGCATGTGAATAGCGAATAGTGCACTTTATTTACATGAAAAAGGAAATATCGTGAGTGTGGCATGTAGAATACAACACCCTTCACGGTTAAAGTAAGCAACCTCATGCGCAGTCAAACATTCTGTAAAGTGCGGCCGTGATGCTGATCGCGTTATGGAGTAAATGAGGCCACGAATATAGAAATCTCTCAGCCACTAGTAATCAATAGTCACTACAGGGTTAACGTACCCAAAACTGTATTTTATGACTAAGCTCTGTGCCAACTTGGGGAAGGGGGAGATAACACATTATTTTTATTATTATTATCACAATCACAATGAGCGCATTTGATGTCATATGTCCTGATATTGTTGAGGCATCTTAGCTAATTTCGGGTGCCATTCCATACCAGGGGATTTTGCCATATAGATTACTGAGATTTAGCCAAGGCTTCTTTTTGTAGCACTCCTCTACAGTGGTTAAAAATTTTTCAGGACAACAATGTAGTTCTGATTTAACAACAATATGAAAGGTTATTTTAGTCAACTGTTTAGTAAGAACCTTCAAGGGTGCTACTAATAAAGTATTCAGTAGCTTGAGAAAATATTTGATCGTACAATAAAAGTATAATTTATTTAAATTTCATCACCAATGCAGATTCCTGGCTGGAGTAAGTAAAATATTACTAAAATAGGAGTCACAAATATCTGATCACATTAAGCGTATTTTAAAATAAAATTTTTAAAGGAATATCATTAGCGTAATAGAGCCATAGTTTCATTGCTTTCCCTAAAAATGCTAAAACTATTTTTTGCAGAAAATAAATCCATTTACCCAAAAACACTAGTAAAGTTTATTACATCAACATAATGCCTAATAAATAATTAAAGCACAAAATAAAGCATGGAATAGATATCTTACAGACTTTTTAAGAGGAATCAGACCTATTACATTGGCATGAATTATGATAAAATGTTTGCGAGAATAAAAGTAATTCAAAATACTCTTCCAATATAATTCGATCTTCACATATATATATCTCCCTGAAACTACTCCCTTTTTGGCAAATTCCTGCTATAAATCATGATTTGTTAACAAAAAACAGACTCCTAAATCACAGGCGCACAGTGGAGCAACAAATTTTTGGAGTAACAATATTAGCAAAAGCCCTAACTGCAAGCAAAGATGTTTAAATCGATGCGTTTTTTGGCATCATTTATCTGGAGAGTTTAATGGTCAAAAGATGAGAAAATTCATCTTTTTAAAAGTCATATCACTTAATTTCTCTTGTCACTACTTTTAAATAAATAAATAAACGGCGAATGCCAAATCGAATATTTTTGGCACAATTTAACAGAATTCTTGAAATTCGTATCATTTGGATTTCCATATTAGTAGCCAGATATGCCGAGCACACGAGTTCTATACTTCAGAGTGCATCTAATACTACAAATTTTTTCATCGATTTAAATTTTAAATTTACTTTTTAGGCCAAATTAACCATTTTACCACTCGTAAATACCCACTCACTAAAATTTCCAAAAGCGCACGGCTCTAAAATCTTAAATAGTCATTTTTGGATGAATGTTTTGAAATTTTTGCATTTTTTCTGATAAAATAGGCCATTGTTTTTAATCTAAATCAGATTATTCAATTAATCTTGTTTACTTTCTTGATGAAAAATCCCCCTGAATGTTATAAAAATTTTCTTTGATAGCAGCACATGAGATTATCAAGGATGTTATTAAATTAGACAGAGCCCATAAGTAGATTAAATGAATTGCCCAGGGCATTATTTAAGGTAGAAATCAAATTACGCACAAATCAAATATGCGTTGGCTAAAAACTATAACTTGGTAAATTTTTTACCTAGAAGCTGTACTGAAAGTGTTTCTGAGTGAAGAAAATTGTGGCCACAAAAATGAACAGGATAAAAAATAATTATGAATTAGCCTGATTTAAGTTAATGTATTTTTTTCGGGAAATTTTTTTATTTTCATGAAGGAAGATCTATTTTGAGTCCAGTTGGTCATCAAGCCTGCTGATCCATATAGCATGGAATCGATAATCTTTGGTACGCATAATGTGCTTTATAGTACAAGTTTCTCATTAGAGTTTGCAAACTACAAATTGTCTTTTAATAATTAAGGGCTCATGTTCCCGCTTCTCCAAATGTGCTCTGCCATTTCACCATATGGTTTCATTTTATGGATACCAATAAGAAATCGACCATCTTACAAACCGATGTTTCAATTCATTCTTGAGTAGACAAATGGTTAACCATTATTTATGCGCAAAAATTTCATTTTTCTGTTAAGAAAAAAAGATTGTCCAACCCCAAAGTAGACGGAAAATGCGTCAGACGTGTATGCAGCCCCTCCTTCATCGAGGCTCGAAATCCTGCAAGCATACCACTAAAAGCCATTACTGCAATTTACGGTCAAGTACACACACCCCTCCTCCCCTCCCCTCATTAGTCGATGTCAATTTTGATCTAATAGAGGTAAACAGGGTAATGGGAAGTCAAATTATGTGTTTTAAATGGGGAAGACTCACACATTTTAATGAAATTTTAAAATGTCTACTTGGTTCAGATCTTCGGCTAATTATGAAAGAATTGCCCCTGAAATTCACAATTCCATGGTCAGGTGTACAGTCATACTTTAGGAGCATCGATAATTTGAGAAAGACGAGAATTTTTGTCAAGAGTGACCTATTAACCAGTTTAGGAATCAAATTGAGAGGTTCTACTATAGGGTCTATATTTGTTAGAACTGAGGTGTGTGATGGAATTACCCCACGTGGTGCACCCTGGGCAACGTATACTCATACGGCAAAAAAGTCTATTAACCGGCAGTTGACTTCT